TAATTAAATTATAATTCACCAGCGAAACATTGAACATAACAATTATTTTAGATCGTATTTTAATTGAATAGATTAAAGTTTCGGTAACTTATCAGTGTGTCAAGCACTATCAACAAAAAAGTATTTTAAATCACTTAGAATGTTATTAATATATTTCAACACCATTTATCGTAATAAATAATCCCCTATATAGTTTAAATAGTTCAATAAATGGGTAAAAGTGTTTTTATATCTCGAACCTTTATAATGTCAATTATAATAAAATCAATTCAATGAGAACAGTCAATAGGTATATCAGAATACCGTCACACAATATATGATGACTAAAATAATCTGCTATAAAATTGGTTCAACAGGCGATACTTGGAATAACGCTTTGCAAGCCACGTTACTGTGATAAAGTAAACTACGAATAACGTTTTAGCTGTGGTTGAACGCGGACATTAGCACGACAAACCGACAAGATGCAATCTCAGGGGCAAGGAATACTGAATCTATTTCTTTGTCTACCCATACAATACATGTGTATACAATGCAAAGTGTAGTTGGATAATTTTAAATATTACTAGAAGACCCGGCGAACTTCGTTTCGCCCTATAATCAAGAAATATCTGTTACGTTTTTTTATTTATATTTTTGGAGTTTACCTATTAAAGCCATAAATCTCCGTGTTTTGAAGTGATTAGGAATGATTAATAGTTAATATGAGAGTTACACTGAGCTAGCAAAATAATAATTGTCAACGTTACTACTACACTTGATGCACAAACAATAACGATGGCCGACAACTGTGTAGGGAGTGAGAGAAGTCTAATTGTGTGAGAGAAACAGAAGACCGGCTTCGTTCTCATCCCTACTCCGTGCTGTTTACTGGGTCAGAAGTGACACCTGTAGATATCTGGCGGGGATAACTTATTAAATGACGATTGATCAGTTATCGACCGGAGATGAAAAATGATTAAATTACTAAAATAGCTATTAAAAAATAAGGGTTGATCGTAGAAGGGTGAAAATTTAGGATTGTATGTATTTTTGTACGTTGTATCATAAAAAAATAGTAATTAAAAATTTTGTCTAAAAAATAAAAAAAAAAATTTAGGGGTGGACTACCCCTAACATTTAGGGGGATGAAAAATAGATGTTGGCCGATTCTCATAGCTACCAAATAAGCACAAAAAATTTCATCAAAATCGGTCAGGTTGTTTCGGAGGAGTATGGGCACGAAAACTGTGACACGAGAATTTTATATATTAGATTTATTGTTTCGTGTAGAATTTTTATAAAATTCTATACTAAAAAGACTAAAACAAATTTCTTTTAATACAAAGTTTCTTTAAAACTTTCTATGTTTGAATATTGATTCGCTTTCGGGGAATGAATCGCATTTTTTTCATACCTAAATGTACAAGTTTCTCGCGATCACAAAAAACTTTTTTTGTCAGAGCACTTTTCCTAATTCTTTTTAATGCGATAAATCTAAAGTCTACTTTTTTGCTTTATCATTTCGTCTTTAATGTCTATTTGAATGAATAAATTAATTCGCTCTTAAGATACATTATGAATCTACAGTCTTTTTTCCTTTATAAGTAAAGTTTGGAAATTTTATTCGTAAGGACATTGAAGTTTCATATATTAAGCAGTTTAATTTACTCAGTTATTCAACAATCACAGCTATACGACCCGAGCGTGCGTAGGCACGGCACGTCGTGGACCCGCGAACTCCTTACAGTCTGGTGACATCTGCACATTTCCGACGTTATCGACTGGAGGATACATTTTTATAGGAACAAATTTAATCTAAGCACATGGAGGGATCAGTCTCAGGAGTGTCCTCCTCGCACGTGAGCACGAGTTAACGATTTTTCAGAGACGTTATTATGGGTCCAGTATAAAAGACTATCTTGAAACTGTGCCGATAGTGATAAGACCCTTTTTGTGAGTACACACGCTGCTCTTCTTATAGAACGTTTAACCTCTATGAACTCAACTTAAATGGACACGGTTATGAATAAATCCGATGTAATATATATTATTTATTATAAAGAATAATTTATCATAGCAAAATCGAATAAATAATAATAATAAAATTACCAGAATATTTTATGAATTATATTAAGATACTAAAAATTTTTAGTTTACATGAATCTTTTGAGAAATATCAAACACTATGGCAGAGCTAATGTCATTAAGCTTTTCCAACTCTTTCCCAAGGGCTTGGCGGGGATGTAGCATTGTTCGAAGGAAATTTTCTTAGAAAAACAATAAATTTTCTGTGAGCAACGCTCGAATGAGTTTCGGTGTCGGCTGAGCGAGAGCACGCTCGCCATAATATATTGAATTTGAAACGAACAAACTTTAACGTTCTTTTTGCCGCGTATAAAAAGATTTTCTTTAAATGTTTACATTGCATTTTCCAACTAAATCAATTTATGCTTTGTTTATTGATTTTTTCCAAAAATATAATATAACATTGGTTATTTAAACTATTTAAAATAATATCATAAACTTTCATAATTCCGTACCTTCAAACAGATAAAGTAACAAGTGATTAAAAAAACATATCTTTTGGTTAAGATTAATGAAGGAGAGAAATAAAATATTGAGGGTACTTTTACTTTAAAATAAAAGACAAATGGCTCGCCCATATTATGTACAAAACATATAAAATAAATATTAAATGAAAATATATGTACTTACTAATATCTGAACCTGATGATTACATTACTAAAAAGGCATTACAAGAAAATATTATATTTACAAGCCTATTGAACACTTCAATTTTGTATAACAGCACTTGGGAAGGTTAAACCACAAAAAAATATTGGTGAGAAGGTGTGAGCTTTTCTGGCTTAATCTCCAACGATTTGCGAAGACGGAAAAAAGGGTTCTGTGAAGGCTTAGACGAGACCGGTCCCCTATATAATCTACCCGTTTTCTGTCCACACTTATCGTTCAGCTCTATTTATTGGGTAATATACTACAATATTACAGAAAATATACAAATCATGACTTGAGTATAGTACCAGTAATCACTCAAAAGTAAACATTAACTTTCAGAAAATAAATAGTCTAATTAATATGTATTACATCTCAGTTAGTGTACATGTAAGGAAATTCAAAATACATTTTTTTGGTGCATTAACAATATATCGTATTTTACCATTGATCGATTGAAGTAGTTTTTATATTTATCCCGGTATAAGTACATCTTCATAGGTATGTATATTAGTCCTTATATTAGTCCTATATAAGTATGTATATTAGCTGTAAATTTCATTGAAAACGTATTTTTGTAATGAAGCTAATGTTACAATCAATCATTCTACACTTACATCCCAGTCCCAATTCGTTTTAAAAGCATTAGGTCTTTTTGATATATTTTGAAGATTTATTATCTACAGAGGTGTATTTATAATATATAGAAGTACATCGTATGTTATTATCTGTATTTACAGATATACAGGGTGACTGGTGAATTACTATCGATACTTGAGGACGTGATATTTGACGATCATATATGACAAAATAAAAAATAATATATCATAAATATTAATAAACTTCTAAGTATAGTTAACCAAAAGTTACGTAATTAATTACGCATCGTGTGAACACCCTACAGATTAGGTATACACACACACACACACGCGTGCGGCGGCGTGGTGTTGTGTCAGCACGCCGCCGCACGCGTCCACACTTGGAACACTTGGAACGTGTCCACACTTTATTTATTTATACGGAAATTTGGTCAAAAATTAAGTACCTATTTTTTTTACATAATTCGAATGAGAATCATGTACCGAGTATTCTCCTTAAATATTGATAGTAATTCACCAATCACCCTGTATAGATTAATTAAAGCTTGACTTCAGAGCATTTAAATTTTGACTTCACCGCAAGTATAAAATTTTTGAAAACAATTAAGATATTTTTTTTGTAATAAGTATAATTTAAAAATTAATTCCATTATTTTTTTGTTTTTAATTTAAAAAATGGTTATATTTTTATTTACCTGTGAATTACAATTTACAATATATTAAAACCGATGTGATACTTGATGGTCTTTACCGAAGTTCCAGACTAATGGCGAAGTATCAATACAAAACGAATTTGGTCAAAAACCCATTTTTCTCTCCCTAACTTTATTTGCTGCTTACAGTTTTACTCTTAATGATTTATATTTCATAGTTGTTTTTAAATTTCAGATAAAAAGAATTAATAATTTTAAACTTATTCACTCCGGAAAGAAGACATTCTGAATCAACAAAAGTCTAATTTAATTTTCAGTTTATAAAATAGAATAATTATATTCATAAGTAATTTAAAGTCCCCTTTGTTACTATAATGAGTAAATTCATTCTTTAATGCGTACAACCTGGCGTGTTCACACCGATTCTCGGCTTCCTACTGTGAACTTTAAGGATTATTTTAACTAGTGATTAAGCTTGAAACAACGAGATTCCGTTCAAATTCTACTAATATAGCAGTCACAAATTCAGGCAACCTTCTAAGTAGAAGGCATTTGTCATTATTTGTAAGGATCACCTTATAGAATACCTTTTCAGTTTATTTATGATAAAATATTAAAGATAATGGTTATTTAATACGGAGCACAATTTCACTCAATTTCTATTACATAGGAATCGATAGAATTATTAATATTATATTTTCGGTAATATTGAAAAGTGATACAATAAAAAATAGAAAAAAATAAATTGTATTAAATTTGATTATGTATTACTTTTGAAACAGAGAAATTTATGGCATCAATCTTTTTCGTATGACGGTAAACTTAAAATCTCGTCATAATTAACATTCATTTAAATTGAGATTATTCATAGGAAAAAGCGAAGTTACTCTGATGGTATTTAACGCCGCACCTGCCGGAGGCGTCTTAGCGTGGCCGAAATTAATGCGACGCAAACTTGGCAAAAGTCAATTACACTTTATTAAAACCGTCTCCATTTATATCAATTTGACGCAAACTGTTACAAATACTGGCAATGTTCCGTCCTTTCATTCGAGAGCGAGGCGGGGCTACGCAAGCGCCGGGAGCGGTTAACATTTTTAGACAAAGCGGCGAGGTAGTTGGCAGCGCGGGCAGTACGCAGCCAGAGCGCCCCGAGGCCGCAGTCGCGCGACTTGAACCCGACGCGCGACTACGAGCGGGACTACGATCGCGTTACGCTTGCCGCTCGCCGCTCGCTCGACCCACAACCACTCAATGAATATTTAATAGAACCGATTTCACGTCGAGCCGGGAATCAATGAGCCAACTTCATCGCCGCACTGGCAAACTCATGATAACACTTTGTTGACATACTTCCATTAGACTGAAAGTTTGCTTAATTACCATGCTGATCGGTTAAATATTTATATCAATATGAACTGTCTAAAATACGCTGCGTGCATTGTTTCATTGACACTTTCGATTATTGCTCTTCCCGTGTCATCCTCCGATGGTAAGTATATAGGATATTTGTAATAAGCATTTCAAAAAGCTGTAGTATTTTTCTTTTATTCGACTTTTAATAAATTCATCCAAGAATACACATTTTTAGCTGCTTGTTTACTAATTTTACGGACGGTTAATTTTTTAATTTTTCTCATTACTACGAGATGAACCGAGAAAAGCTACAACGTGCAAAACAACTTTCGCTCCAAAAAGTGAACATTTTATTTTATATCCTTGTGAAGTTTGCACCATAACTTTACCCCACTTCTGTTTAAGATAGATAACTTAAGTCTTCACATCCATAAAAATCTTTTTGTTAGTTCAGTGAACTTTGAACACAATTGGATGACTCGAATTTATGGTTGTAAAGTAAACCGAAATTAAATTGTCATATGAACATAAACAAAAAAACTTACTTTGTAAAGTAATGAAAAATATATAGTGAATTTAAGTTATGGATATTGATAAATACTTTGCTAATGTTTTTATATAAACGGAAGCTTTGAACTGTGAAGTCGCGTATATAATTAATCTTCATTAGCTTAATGAATTGACATATTTGTGTGAGATGCAAAAGACTTGTACTGTCCACATTTTAATTACATATTTTTATGAAGCAAACCTTTTCTAGCAAATGTACACCTTTGTTATCATTTTGCCAAATACAATTCAATTTACTAACTTATCATTGGTGTGTCTGTGAATAAACTGACTATGATAAATATGTTTTATGAATCAAATAGTAACCCCTTTGTGGGTTTATGGAACGAACTTAAAAAAAAGTCTCATATATAGAATATAATTTTAAGGAAAATAAATATTTTTTGTAAGATTTTTATTTTTTAATAAAACGGTATTTAGTGTGAGTCAGGTATTAAAATTAAACTTTTTACTTTATACAGCTCTTTCACTGCTATGGTTGTTGTTATGATATAAATTTACTGGCAATGTGTATAATAATATGTATTAAGCACTGCAGGTAAAAAATACATATATTCTGTATAAATAATCTTATATAAAAAGTTCTTTCTTGTAATAAAATTTTTTAACACGATGAAATCTCATTCATTAATTCCATTGGTTTGTGACATTAGATGAAATAAATAGTCAGACACCAAAAAAAAAGCTAACAAAAAGGTTACTCCATAGTAAAACTCTTTAAATTATACTTTTAGTTGAGATATTGTTTGCAACAATAAATACAATATTATATATTAATAAATTTTAATTTTTCCCAGACTTTCTGAGCCCTAAGTCATGTCGATTTTTAAAAATAAGTTGGACAGAGCTTCATTAAAAAGAAACTTCTTCGAGTAAACATAAAGAGACATTAATTAATTTTAATTACCAATACAATACTTATTAATAAATTTCAAAAAGTAAATAAGTTCGCAATTATATATTTGAATACCACTTAAACGTTTCAAGGTTCAAATCAAAATTTATAAAACAATAGTTTGAAATCGAAAAACAATACAAAATACTGTACATCAATTATATTATGATTGTCAAAAAGGTCACTCTTCACTTTATAGTAGTAATAAAATATACAAAATAATAGATTTTATTTTATCACTATTTTCAATTGTTATGTGTATATACATATGTCTCTTTACTGTGTCCAAAAACGGTCTCCACTAGTAGGACGTGGGGGTTTCATTGACAATTTATCGACCATTTGCATGTCAGATTTCAAATGTGAAACAAATTTGCCGATGAATTTTGTCCTCTGTTGATGGTCTAACTTTCGAGTTACGTCTTGAAAATCCAAACGACTGCTTGCTTTCTAATCTACTGAGCAACCGTCAAATTATGGACTTGCTCTACAGTCGATGTCCACTTCTTGGCCCCAAAGTCGTTACCAGGTTTACATTATTGAAAGGGTTAGTGTTGCGAATTTAATAATACGCCGCATCGTCTCAAATTCGTTAATATATTATTTAATTGATTAAACACTCATTAATATAAATGTGCACTGAACTGAATAGACCTCAAAATACATGTATTAATATGCACGTTCAAATTTAAACTAAAATTACTTTATATTTGAAAAGATAAAATAAAAAGCCATCGCATTGCCAACACGATTAATTGGCAAGAACGCGCGTACCCTATTTGGCGTGGGAAAATTAGGAAGAAACCTAATAAAGCTCGTAATATAATAAACTCGTGCAGTTTAATAACATTGAACATTTAGTAGATTTATTAAACTACGACTTCTTTATAATTTAAAACCATTTTTATTTCAACAAATTAGTAAATTTTAAACTTAGCTATCGTGTTCATGAATGGTGAGCAAATATCATAATGTCATAATATTTGTTTTCTGTGATGTCAAATACTCAAGTCCCCAAAGAGATTACACAGTTAGCTAAATGTACGACTGGTGTCCATCTGGAGCGATGGCCACTAACCATCAGATGGCTGATCGTATAACGATCGTATAACATAAAAGCGAAACAAAAAAATAAAGCCGTTGAATCAAACGCCTACATGGACAAACCCGTATTTGTAGAAAATTATTAGAATTTCCTTTTCAAATACACAATACTAACACGTTATAAATTTTTGGGATAAATCAAAATACATAATAATAAAAGTAAAAACGAGAACATTTTGAATCCACAAAAAAAAAATTGGAATGTTACAGTAGAATGTGCAATATTAAAATAATATTCGGAGAGATAAAGTGTTAAACCTTTTACTGTTAATAATAAGAATTTCAAATTTATTTAATTTTTACTTGTACAATTAAATATATATATTTTTTACGGACTTATCATAACCCATGTTCATTTTTCTTGCACCTCTTTAGACTCATATAAAGTTGATATTTAATTATTTAACATTTTTTGACGTTGTTGTGACGTAATCCTTATGAAAATTTATGATCTTGGCCCAATAATAAACATTATTTCTAACAATACCCATATTAAAGAACGGTTTGTTTTTTCCTGATATTGAGCTCATCAGCTAATTGTTATGGATACGACTATAGCCTTAACAAAGCAAATTTATTGTCCGAAAGCTTTATCAATTTTATATTTCAAATCATATTGTCATACAACTGGCATATTTTTCACCATGCCTGCTTCGACGTTGATATCTATAACGCCATTATTCAGAGGATTAGCTTTTTGCTGGATGAGCCGTAGAATATTCAAAAGGGTATTATTGGATTTTATTGAATCTGTACCAGTGTCACTTTAAATTAGAACTTTATCTTCCATATCCATTTCTTTTTGTTCAACTCCTTTTGTCTTTCTAGAAAATAAACAAAATATAAAGTTAATTAACATAAATTTAAACAATAAAATATTTGATGCTTTTCGTTTATAACGTCACTGGCTATATGGTATTAATTTCTATAGTGTTCCTAATTTAATATTTATATTAATTTTTATAATGAAAAAAATATGAGACTTTAAATAAATGTGTGGATTATCAATGTTGAAATGATTATACTAAGATACATTGTTCACACTCTAATATTTACGATAATAGAGTATAAAGTATTTAAATACCTTGTATTAATAGTCCTTAATAAAACTAAAGTCTTCCTATCTATTCTAACTTCTTTAGATTTCTCAAAACTTATATAAACTTTCCCCATGAACACAATAAACTCTTATAATGCCCGTTAATTAATAGATAAAACATTTATAACGTTCATTTAATACACATCTCTCTCAGAAATGTAAAGATCTCAAAAGTATGAAAAGTTCGGACTCCGTGACTCATCTGTTTTGACCGCAGTTCTAAAGTAAATTACTATAAGACTGAAGTTAGTGAACTTTCAGCGCTCTACTCTAACTTACCTAGCTTAGTACCTTGTGTATGATTATTTGCGAGTTGCTAGCGCTATGCTTCAATTTGTTACAGAACTCGGGAACGCCTTTGGAACTTGCTCTCTCTAGAATGTCGGTTCATTGCGATGCCAATTGCCACATAAACAAGCCTCGCTAACACCAGCTATGCGGCCGCGATAGTGAAACTTTCTCGTACACTTTTCTCATAACATATCATTAAATATCTTCGTATTACCTACAAAATCTTAACATCCCTTTTCATATTAAATTTCTCGGCTAGATTATTTCAAAGTTTATAATTTTATGATCATAACTTCGTTTAAAAATATAAAAAAAAATGGGATTATATAATACATAAACATTTTTGTAAAACAGCTCTAAGTAGTTACTAGATTATGCTTATAATATTATTCAATTCTATTATGTATAATATTGATTGCAATTTCTATTTGAAAATCTTTTATTACTCTACTTATAAATTTCTCATACCTAATTGTTTTAATCCACTATAAAATAAACTACTTAATGTAAGCATTTATAAACTATAAAATATTCTGTATTGTTTCACACATTTCGCAATACAAATCTAATAAATAAAAAACAAAAAATTAAAAGAAAACAAAGGAATATTTTTAAATACTTTGAAACTGGCTCTCAATAGGTATTCTTAATCAAAAATATGCAATCCACCTACTCTATATTACATACTCTTTGATAGAGTACTCTTTGATAGCTCTTCTATTCGAAATATTAATTATACCGTTCTATACACAAAAATTCATCAAAAGCTACTTTTTTATTTTTCATATGATAATTAATATATAACCTATATACATATATTGTTATTGGGTTGTATAAAAATTTTAAATCAATATTCTCTGTTTTGTAGTCTATAACATCAGCTTTAACTCGATAATCTTTCAAACTGTACCGAACCGTCGTCTGGAAGCAATCTTATAAAGAT